TGCGTTCAATCATTAATTCCCTTCCAATAACTGGTTTTCAACGATTTTTATGGAAAAGGGCTGCCAGTATGCGTGCTGTCGTTCAAAGGAAAGAAACCTTACCTTAGGGAATCCGGCACAACTTGCCACCACAGGTGGAGGAGGTGGTGGAGCAGGGACGGGGTTTTCGCCTCGTGCAGGTGCTGTGCTTAAATTTCGTTTTGGAAGAGTTGGATCCGCACATGTTGTGGCAACAGCAGATCCTACAAATAAACTTCTAATTTCCCTTGTCCGCTTATCCTAGCTGTGGGGCCGACACTGAAATCTACTTTGATAGAGTACAATTAGGCTTTACACGTATATTGTTTCATATGTTTATCATAAAAAGAAGAACATCTAGAGACTGAGACCGCTTTGAACATATACGCCACAAAACTGGAAGTCCCGGCGGCACCACACATCAACACTTCTTTGAATGCTGATCCTACCTAACCGCTCAACTTCTCGCTCACAATAAACCAATCAGCGTAAGACCGACAACTGCACAGAGGAGTCTACAATGTTCTCCGCTGAAACAAGTAATTGGACAAGTTCTGAAGGGATATATCATTTAATGTGAAGTTGTAGCTCGCCCATCATACTCTCAAAAGCGTTTCCCGATTCCATAAAATATGCAAACCAAGATCAAAAGAAGATATGGATTTGCATAAAGTAATACATGTATCATTCTATACAAATCAAGGAATATCTTTTAAATTGTGTGGTTACGCTTAAATTCCCTTGTAGATATCACTACCCATATTCAAAATTTTTCATCCTCAGTTCAGTTCCTTAATATTAACCTTGTCAAGATCTCAAATGTTTCAATGAAAGCATTCAGGCCGACGCTGCAGAAAATAGATTTCCTCATGGCGTGCTTGCCTGTCTAACTATTTGCCGTAGAGGGAAGCGGCGAAGCGTTGAGAACTCCTGGTTTAATTTCTGCAGTGTCGGCCTGAATGCATTCCTGTGCGTCCTTCATACGACCAGTTGCGTGCGGGGAAAAGGTGAGTGGGGTGACCGAGCGGTTCAGGATAGTCTCCCAAGGCCCTCTTTCGGTTACAAAAAGAATTAAAGAGCAGGCAAATATGGAGGTAACGATAATAAAATAACTTTCTAAACACTACTTCTAAATTTTAACTAAGTCGCATAATTTATCATCTATAGCATGAATAAAAACACCATTTGTGCGGCGGTAAAGTACAGCAGTTCCAACATATTTATGAAGATGAATAAATAGATGAACATACAATAAAAAATTGAACTTTTTCAACGAGATTATTTAGAGGATCTCGTCATAAAATTCTGCAAATACTATATTCTGAAAAAACAACAAGGGAGTATGCTAGGCTGTTGTCGCAAAATAATGTTTGATGTTCTGATTTCAGATCTCTATCGCTTATCGCATTTTCGTATTGCCACATTTGCGTTATCCATTTATTTCCGGCAGCTTTCTTAAGCCAATTGACAACTTCTTCATGGGTTTCTATGCAGAACAAAGATAATTTCTTTTCCCATCTCAGACAATGGGAGTATTAAAGGTCTATATAAGAGATTTTTTCATAACTAATGTTTGGAGCAACATTTCAAGCTGCACCGAGTATGTAAATCACATTTTAAGAGACCACAACGACCTAGAACCCTTAAAATAGGTAGCAAGTGAGAGCATATGAATAAAAAGTATATCTTTATCGAAAAGCAATGCAAGCAAATTTCTTGATAACCTTCTTAGAACCAAAATCTTTTGCACGGTACCCAAAACATGTGCTCTTTGTTGGATCGTTAAAAACTTTATTTCTGAATCTTTTCGAAGCCTTAATGGTTCAACTTGGAGAGCTAGCCTGCTTAAAAATTCAACTGTATAGTCAAGAAGATTTCGTCGTCTGCATGTGCTTTTGCACCCTTGCGCTCTCGTGAAATCTCAGGCTAGCTGTTCCATTATCATAATCGGCCCATCTTCAAGTTGTTCTCTATGCATTCTGCTGTCTTCAAGTAATGTATGTGAAGATATTTACTACGGAAATCATAAGCTATCGCTTGATCTGAACTTATTACCAATTCTTATCTTTGTTCTTATGGGAATGCAAATGTTTGTTTATAGATATCCCAAAAATTTAGTAGATAGGTGCTGATAATATAATGATTGACCATGTACAATTTGTTTACTTTGATGCTTGTTGTAATCTGCAAGAATTTCGATTAAAACAACGTTTGGCCTAATTAAAAGAGATTTTTCCGTATGAGCGCGCAGTGTGCAATGTCGTGAACGGCCGAATTTACCCAGCTATGAATATATTTCATAAACTTGGCGGTTACAATATATAAAAGTTGTTAGTGACTTTAAAACTGCTCTCAAGTACTAACATTACTTTATTCCAAATCTTGTGGTATGAAATACACTGCCACAGATCCTCCAACTCTTAAGTTGCGATGCGTGGATATGGAGACTAGCGTAATTTTTCCTTCTTACTCATATCAAAGTAGTTCCCAGACCTTTCTTCTCAGCATAGCAGGCGCTCATTATTTTCACTACAAC